ACCATGACCTGCTCCAAGTGTTTCAAGGATGTTCTGAACATCTACTTTAACCCCGTCTATACCCGCAGAAGCAAGGTATGAGTGCAGTTCATTATAGAAATTATAGACTTTCTCAGGGTTCACTAGACCAAGACCATTCTTTGTCAAGCTATCCAAAGCATCATCAGGTTCTTGTGACTCGACCCCAGGAGATGAAACTGGGAAAGATAACTTGGATTCATAGTGATCCATCTCAGGGACCCCAGGTTTCACACCGCCCCAGTAACCGGCGAGTGCATGCCACACGTACACATACCTAAAGTGCAAAGGTTGAGATAAGGAAACAGAAAAGCAGATAACTAAAAGGCCAGGACCTAAAAGTTGACGATATTACAGAGCATACTTTAAATTGTGCTGGTCCTTGATATTGGTAACAACATGTCGTAGTCCCATTGCAGGATCATTAACCCTATGCCCTTCCTTTCCATCTTTTTGAAATTTGTGGTTCTCTTTAATATGAGTTAACCTGTTAGCAAAGCTGAAAATGAGCCAAAGAACAATCAGAACGTTTAGCCAGTAGAAAGGGATTGCTAAACAAAAAGGAATTAGGATGCAAACTTTCAAAGAGAACATCAGAAGGAGCAACAGCTCCTCAACCAAAAACTGAGAAAGAATATGATGACAATGATACTAAATTGGTTCAATCTACTCACTTTGCATGGTTATCAGCAATGGATTCGATACTATTGGGATCCATACCCACAGATTGCCATCCATCATCAATGAGTACGAACTTTGGGGGTATACCTCCTTTCTCCAAACTGTAAAAGTCATAAAAGTGTAAGCACTATAAGCAATACAAGAATTTAGAATCATAGGCAGTATCTAAAGATTAAAGTTGTGACCTCTCTAATCCTTGCTTCACTCCCTCGGCAGTAACAGTAGTATAGAAAGCATCCCATGTACACCATCCAAACCAGTTCAACATGTCTGGCATCTGAACCATGACAAAAACATGCCTTCATATATACATATATACAGAAGAAGTAATGATGCCAATAATACTTGCAGCAGTCCAAAGACATTCAAACTGTACCTTCTTTCTATCACGGTGGCAAAATGTCTGCAAATGCCTCTCCACCGTCCTGTGTTGACAAAGTATTTCAACCATCAACTCCGATTCAAATAGGTAATGTCTATAACAGACTCATACAGCTTTCATAAGTTGTGCCATTATTATTGCAAACTTCAATTCGTGCATCCCACATAAATAAATTTTGATGAATACTTGGTATTGATAATAGGTCTAAAACGCATATAGGCTAGTTGATACATCAACCCCCACGGCTGGCGTAATTTGTGAAGCTCACCTCGACTATGTGAATAATGAAAGACATAAATATCAATTACTGATATTTGTACCATGTCAAATTTAAGGGACCGTGGCAAATAGATTTGTACTAGGTTCCGTTTGGGTAGAGTTGGAATTAGCACTATCTCGTCCAAAAGTTCTATACATCTATTTTTCTCAAGGCACTTCTTTTGCAAAGCCCCCTTTTATCAGTTACGACCATGTTCTGGCCATAAGCCGACCACATGGATTTTGTGAATGCAAAAGACATGTTGACAGAAATAAGTTAAAACCAAACATTACTACTGCAAATATATGCAAATCTACATGAGAACAATGGATTGGATATTTGAATAAGGAAACTTCAAGAACAGTAACAATCGAAGAAAGGACAAAAACATACTTGACTGCATTAGTGATGACATCAAAAGGGTCTGGCCCAGCTGCTACGAAAACCAAATGGCTTCCTTCAAAATCTTGCACAGCAGGATCTCCTGCAATCGACCATTACCATTAGCATCATTGAGAATTGCTAAAGACCATTCCACAAAACCCAAAAGGCATTAATAGAGATCATCCCAAAAAAGAAAAGATCAAAATACTCATACCACTTTCCAGGCATATTTCTAACTCGTCGTTTGAGTTCCCTTGAAGAACAGCCCTAAAATCTCCCTCCAGAATAGGCAAGAATACAACATACAATGCTGAATTTTCATGGTTATCTTGATCAAAATTTGAACCATCATTTCCTTCCACAATCAAAAATTGAGTCTCAAATGGTATGTCTTGTCCGGATGTACCCATCCTCTGTGTCATCCACCATAACTTGAACCGGAAAACACACATAAATCTCAATCCTCTGCAAACCGTAATCAAGCATTCAACACATAAATAATTTCCAAGTTAAAACCAAAAAATGCATAACTCAAAATTCCAAGAATCAAATTGCAATCTTTACAGCCAAAACTAGCAAATCTTACATTATAACTCCAAATATTATCAAAATTTAGATTCAAAATAGGGGAAACCTCAATGAAATTAAAATATAAAAATCCACCGCATACCATAAACAAGCACTCAATATGTAAAACAATTCCTTGTAAAAACCCACATGAAACTCAAAACACTAAAAATCAAAATGAGGTGCAATCTTTAAATCAACAAAAAGATGCAATCTTTACGGCTAAAAAATGCAAGCTTTACATTAGAACTCCAAACAACCTCAACGCTTTGATTAAAAACAGGGTGGGATGCCTTAAATAAAGTTAAAACCATAAGCAAGCATCCAACACGTAACTATTTCCTCGTAAAAACTCACAAATTAAAATACCTCAAAATCCAAAATCAAAATGCAACCTTTAAAAGAAGTTGCAATCTTTACAACCCAAAAAAAAAAAGAAAAAAAGATATGCAATCTTTACATAAAAACTCCCAAACAATCTCAACACATAGATTTAAACAGGTGAGTAAAGTTAAAAACATAAAAGCCATCATCATAAATAAATAAAAACCACTTTGATTTATTAATGAAAATTCAAAATTTCAATCTGCGGCCCCAACCAACAGAAAAAAAAGAGAGAGAGAGAGAGAGAGCTTAAACACATGCAGAGAAAAAAGCTAAGAAGAAGAAGAAGAAGAACATACTGGAGTTTGCCAACAGGAAAAACTCTGCGACTACCAATTTTGTCGGAATGAACACCAAGGAATGCACCATTAATGAAAGCTTCACCTGTTGGCTGTGTTACAATTATGTTTTCATTAACATCTGTGAGAATGCTCTGTCCCAACACATTCAGCTTCCTTTCAGCTACACATATTCCTGCTCCCACTGTCATCTTTCTTTATCTTCCTATAACCCAAAAAAACAATAAAATCCACAAACACCACCCAACAAAAATCTGTCTTCCTAAACCAAGAAAATCTACAAAAAGAATGATCTTAGCTATATAAGACCGAAGACAAAAAAAAATGTCAAAAACCCCACATGAAAAGAGCAATGACAGGATCAAAACCTGTAGAGATTGATAAATATGTAAGATTTTTGAGAGTTGAGAAAGGTGTGTGTGGAGAAAGAGAAGGTTGAGAGGTTGAGAATTGGCCGGGGTTTGTGCTTTTTATACAATGTTTTTAGGCTACGGGAAAACCAAACCAATGTTGGATCATTACAGAATTATGAGCTATTGCCAAATGGTAGGTGGGACCAGCTGCACAGTAACCAATCCAATCTGGCTCTTTAATTATATTTGCGTTTTTTCATTTGTTTTCTTGATCTTGTCAAAAAGAGTTAGGTTTTTATGATAAATATTATATTATGGTGGATATCTACTCTTCCTCCATGATTTTCATGTCAAATGCTTAATAACATATTCAATGACATATTTTCTATGTTCAATGACATATTTCATGACATATTTTCTTTATTTTTCATGCCTATATAAAGGTCTTGTAATAGATAGGAAAATACACACAATTGAAGAAGAAAATCTCTTCCTTCTCTCTATCTCCATTAATTGTTCATGTTTTACTAAATTGCTTTTATTTCCTTGTTCCATATTGTTACTTTGAGTTATATTTCATAACACGTTATCAGCACTAATAGCTCATTTCATAATCTTCTATCAAGATTATGTGGCAGGTGCTCTTTAATTTTCATGGCGTTGGCCAATACCAATTTTGGCGGCAAGGTAACTTTATTCTAATTTTTCTTTATAATGGTAAGAGTTTATACATTCATACCACTACACAAATCTATTTTAATGTTCTTTAATCCCAAGAAATATATGGCATCTTAGAGATCATAATGTTTATTAATAATACATAAATCTAATGATTTTAAAAATAAAAAAATTTAAAAAAAGGATAACATAGCACCAAACTATAGCAGTATCTTTGGTCTTTCCCTTCCTACTTATTTTGATTCTTTATGCATGAGATTTGGTTTTATATGTTTGATGTGGATTTAGACTTACATTTATAAGGATGATCATGGCATTAAAATAATTACCAAGTTGGAGAGGTACGATGACTATCAAAATTATTATTATAATTAAAGGTGTATTACGACTCTATATTTATATGATTTTAAAATTATAAGTACAATTTGCCCACAGTCTATTTTCAATTAAAATTGTATGGATAGAACATCACCCCGATACATACATTTGGAAATATTCTTTATGTTCTTTGTCTTAAATTAGCCCCTACAGTAGCAATATCCTAAAATTGATTCAAAAAATATTATGACATTGATTTATGGTAGATCTGAACTACAATAGAATTTACAACAAATGTTCTGATCATAAGAGTTATTATATTCTATATGTCTTGTTGAAACTTAATTCACTTATGCATATAATCGTGAATGGTAATATATTATGGTCCAGTTTACTTTGGCAGATTATGACATTGATTAACGATATGCCATTAGATTCAAGTCTTGATGCTCCATGATAATAAGAGTTGGGTTTGAGTCCCAATTTATTATGGCCTAACATGCCTTTATATTGGTAAGACATTGGGTTTGAGTCCCAATGTACCGTATTGATGATATAATGATGACTAAAGAAAAATAATATATTTTTCATTAAAGGCATGAAGATTGTCCCACTTGATTTGCTCCATTCTTGAAGTGAGTGTGGTAGCAGTGCATAATAAGTTTAAATGAAGACATGTGGTTGAATAATGAACGTGGGCGTTCCAAAGATCAAAATAATAATAATAATCATTACAATGATTATAAAAGGAGAACAATAAGGGTTCTCAAAATAGTCCTTCAAAATGTGAAGGCAATGTTTACCATCAAATTGGTATGAAGCACATTGCTGATTATGATCCATTCCTTGAAGAGAATGTGACTTGTGATAATCATTGAAAATGCAGACCCATTCCTAAAGGTGAATGTGGTAATATGTGATAAAAATAATGAATAAAAACATGCAAGGCATGATTGGATGAATACAACACAGCTCACTTTTGAGGGAGGTTTGAGTGAAATAAAGAGAATAAATATTATTGTGTGGTTACATGAATATGTCATTGGTCTCGTACATGTGATACGCCAAAATATTTTGGCATGCCTTATAAAAATTATTAGAGGCAAAATTAAAGCAAAAAATGATTTTACTTATGATAATTTTGACCATGACAATTTATTATGATATAATTTTCTCAGTGAAGAAGACATTTACCATATGAATGGTATGATAAAAGATCTTGTAGTACAAAAGTTGTTAAGAGCTCCGGAAAAACTAATTTGTTATTATCCGGATGAATAAAATTATTCATGACATTGATATTGTAAAGTCTCAAAAGAAACTTTTTGAATTTCAAATGTACAAGTCAAAGTAATTGATATATTGAGACTATAAATGAAAGGAAGATTGAATATCTTCATATTTCTACAATCATACCGAGTAAATATGAAAGATTACCCGATTTTCTTTCTATTTGTACTACACAAATATAAGCATGATGCTGGAATCATATGCCACAAGTAAACTAGAGGTTTACTAAAATAAATATTAGTTGGCATGATCGGTTAACCATTCCGGTTCAATTATGATGCGAAAAATTAATTAAGAATTACATTGGCATATATTGCAGAATAGAAGATTCTTCAGGATTTCTCTTGTGCTGCTTATTCTCATGATATACCAGTTAAGGTTGGGATTGAATCCCTTGATTTCTGGAACGAATAAAAGGTGATAAATATATGGGCTCGGTCACCTGCCATGTGGACCGCTTACTATTATATGATTTTAATAGATGTATCTATTCTATGGTCACATGTGCATTTGTTATCAACTTGTAGTTTGGCTTTTGCAAGATTGCTTGCTCAAGTTATTAGAGCACAGTTCCAGAATATAAATTATGATGATTTATCTTAATAATACTGGTTTGAATCCAAGTTGGTTTAGCAGAAATTGTATGCCTCCAATATAGCTAAATCATTAGTTATGAGAACAAAACTCCTAAAAACAAAATTTGGTATGAGATGTATTATTTAATATATAACAGCACTTGTACGCATCTAGCCAAGTTATAAAAAATTTTCCCTATCACAATCGGTTCAGGGTCAGGAACCAAATAATTTCTATATAGAAATATGGATGTGCTATATGATTTAATTATACCACCAAAATGCACAGAGATGAGTTCCTAAAGAAGGTTGGGAAATGGGTTGGTGATCCCAACATTAGGGAGAGAAAATGGGCAGCTGAGAAAGTGATACGTGAAGTGAATTATTATGAATACATATAAATCCTCGTACAAGAAAATATGAACTTGAAGTTCAAGTAATAATACATTTACAAATTATTGCCAGACGCATTTGCTGACCCAAAGCTAAATATCATATTTCAACTGTTAATGCTCTAAATAGAATAAAGTCCATGAGGGACAGAGTCTATGGCACGCATGAAGCGTAACATACCAATCGGTTCCACAGATAACACTCCTTGAAGAAGGAGAGGGGAAAATATTCAAAATGGTCATAATAAGGAGGCAAGTGCCCTATAAGAGAACCACGACATAACACTTCATAAGACCTCATGGGAGAGGCTCAGGTATCAGAAAATAATGAGATAAAGAGATCTCAATAAGTTATGTCTTTATTATGTAATAATGGAACCGACGTAAAGTGATCGTCGACGATATTGTTAACATAATGTAGCGCTCAATATTATTAATATTGACGAGGATCTTGAGCTCAAATCTTTCATGAAATTTGGACAGATAAATGATTGGCCAAATAAAAAATACGCAATGAAAATTGACTTCACTTGAAAAAATGTGAAGTTGGGCGGATGGTCCCAACACTTTAAAGTATAAAGCCAATGGAGGTATAAATGTGTTCTTGTGCAAAAAGTTCAAGTCGATAGGCATAAAGACGACTTGTGACACAAGAAAATTAGTAAATATCCTCACATTGATTATATGGAGACATGTTCTCTTGTGTGGATATAATCATTTCAGATTTTAATCTGGCAATACATGAAAACTTAATATGTGTATAATGGAAATCATTGAAGGATTAAAATTGTTCTGAAGTATATTAATGTTCCCAAAAAATTTATTAAATAAAGCTTCCAAAAAAAATTCTTATACGGATTGAAACAATCAGGACACATATGGTATAATCGCCTATGTGAGTACCTATTGAAAGAAAGGTACAAGAATGATTCAATTTGTCCTTGTATCTTTATAAAAAGATCTAGATTTGAATTTGTTATAATCTCTGTGTATGTTGATGATTCAAATATCATTACAACTCCCAGGCAGCTTCCTAAAGCAGTAGACTGTTTAAAGAAATAATTTGAAATGAAAGATCTTGAAAAGACTTTTTGTCTTGGTCTACAAATTGAGTATATGAAAGATGAAATTTTTATCAATCAATCATCATACACTAAAAAGATTTTAAAGCTATTTTATATGGATAAAGCACATCCATTAGTACCCCGATGATTGTGAGATCACTCGATATAAATAAAGATCCATTCCGATCTCATAAAAATAATGAAGAACTTGTTGGTCCTGAAGTACTATATCTTAGTGCAATTGATGCACTAATGTATCTTGATAACACTACAAGGCATGACATAATGTTTTCAGTTAATGTCTTAGCAAGATATAGCTCTACTCCTACAAGGAGACATTGAAGTGAAATCAAACACATATTGTGTTATCTAAAAGGGACTACCAATGTGGGCTTATTTTATGGCAATGATTGCAATCTCGATCTTGTTGGTTATGCCGATGTAAAGTATTTATCTGACACACACAAGGCTTGATCTCAAACATGCTATGTGTTTACATGTGGAGACACTGCCATATCTTAGCGATCGACTAAGAAATCAATCGTGGCTACTTCTTCTAATCATGCTGAGATAATTGCTATTCATGAAGCAAGTCGAGAATGTATTTGGTTGAGATCTATAATATATCTTATCCGAGACAAATGTGGTTTGAAGTGTGACAAACTACCCATAATTTTGTATGAAGACAATACAACATGTATAGCCCAATTGAAGGGTTGATTCATAAAAGGAAATAAGATAAAATACATTTCACCAAAGTTATTTTTCATACATGAT